CAACAAAAAAAAAAAAAAAAAGTACTTTATTGCTAATCGTCATCTGACAATGCAGGGTTGCCACAAGCCTTCAATTTGTAAAAAAACGCAGTGTCTGCAAAGCGCAATAAAGCAAAGTGCAATAAAGCAAAGCGCAATAAAGCAAAGCGCAATAAAGCAAAGCGCAATAAAGCAAAGTGCAATAAAGCAAAGCGCAATAAAGCAAAGTGCAATAAAACGAGGTACGCCTGTATCTTCGAAGAAGTGCCTGTTCACATCCTTTACTTGGGTTGAAATCAGGTTATTTATCTTTTTATTGTTGAGTAGTAAGAGTACAGCTTGTGTGACTGGTTACATATGGAGATTAAAAATTGGTCTGGTTTTCTTTTTTTCCCTTGTTATTCCCAGTAGTAAAGTAAATAAAGCTCTTTGCCTAGTTGAGGCCAATACAAAGTATATTACTAACTTTAAAATTGTGCAGTTGCTATGTTCATTATATAAGCAGCTGAAACGTTTAAATCTGAGAACGTTTAAATGTGTGCAGCACACTAAAGCCTGAGCGTGAAGAGATGGGTGCTTGGCTGTTACCAGGCGCCCCTGCAGCCATTCACTCCATGCTGGTGGCCTCCTCCTTCCCCCACCACAAGCCCAGGCCAGGGTACCGAGGCCTCTCCTGTGACCCCCTCTTCCTCAGCAGGTAGGAGCACCCTCCCACCAAGGCCATGTGGTCTCCTCTCCTTTATCTCCCTTTCTCCATTATCTTCATTATCTCATTATCTCCTTTATCTTCATTCCAGTTAACTTTTTTTTTTTTTAATTTTTTTTTTGGTTTTGGCTGCGTTGGGTCTTCGTTGCTGCGCAGACTTTCTCTAGTTGGGGCTTCTCTTGTTGCGGAGCACAGGCTCTAGGCGCATGGGCTTCAGTAGTTGTGGCTCGTGGGCTCTAGAGTGCAGGCTCAGTGGTTGTGGCACACAGGCTTAGTTGCTCAGCAGCATGTGGGATCTTCCCGGACCAGGGCTGGAACCCGTGTCCCCTGCATCGGCAGGTGGATTCTTAACCACTGCGCCACCAGGCAAGTCCCCATTCCAGTTAACTTTTTATGCTTAGCTCAAGGCTCCAGAGTAAAGGAGAGAGGAGGGGAAGTGCGGAAGGACTGGGGTCCCTCCCCAAAGGGCTAGTCATCCACAGATGTCGAGTGCCCACCCTGTGCCAGGCACTCCGTGGGGGTAATGGAGTTGCAGGAGTGGGGCAAGCACTCCAGACCTCTGAGTTTATTGTTCATGCTGTGTCTCCCAGGTAGATGTGTGATGCTCCATCAGGTGAGGAAAGAATGTCAGACCTCCTGTTTATCTTTTAGCTCATTTAAAAGTTTCCATATAATATATAAGGACAGTAAGGTTATAGCTTAACTATCCATGTATTTATTGGTGAAGGGGTTTACATTTTTTCTTGTTGAGGTGTGAGATCGTAAGTAGCATATGTAATTGGTTTTGATTTTGTTAACCATTTAAACACAGGTTGCTTTATACTCCAATGTAAAGGAACAAACTTTGAGTACTGCTCAGACAGCCAGACTTCTGAATGCCCTTTTTAAAAAAATCTTTTGTAGACCCTCCTTTACACAGCACTGCTATATATGCTGATGAGGAAGAATTCTCCAAGCACTGTGGGTCATCTCTCCCCTCAACTCCTCAAGGAAAAGAAGCAAAAAGAAGGTATGGGTGGATCTCAAGCAACTGTTTACTCATGGTTAATGGGATTTCTGAGACGTTCTTTAAGATAGAAGCTTATAAAACCAAAACTGTTTAAAGATCTTTTGAGCCAACTTATGTTTTCCCTCAAGAAGACTGGGACATGAAAAGGCAGTTTTTCAGTAATTGACATTACTTATAATAACTGTAACTGACACCTGATTATCCTAGAAAACATACCAGTGAAGGTGGTTTAGCTTTGAGGTAAAACAAAGGAGGGGAAAGGTTTTAGGAGCATAGAATTTTAGATGATTTTGAGAGGTCCCTTTAATTTACAAATATGCTTAATTGTCACAAAAGATATGTTTTCTAGTTCAGGGTGGGAATAGGGAAGAGAAGCTGATAATCCCAAAGGAAATGCAGTCTGTTGTAAATTTCAGCTGCGTGGTCCCTAAGCTGCATTGGTTTGAGTTTTCAGATTTATGTGGAGGCCTGAGTCAGGAAAATCTGTAAAAATGACACCACAGAGGCAACTCGAGAGCACATATAATGAAGAAGCCTTCAGTAGCTGTAGTACTAACTAAAAATTATTAGCTAGAGCAAATCCTTGACTTAAGGACCTCTGTTAGGTAATAGGTCAGTTCTAGTTACTGACTATATTTTGAAAGTAACAAAACTATTTTTAAAACAAATATCCCATTTGGGCAGAAATCTAGATGAGGACATCTTTCTGAGGTTCTCTGCACTGGGAAAACCTTATGGTACTTGGTTATTTGGGAGACTCCAGTTTTTCTATGAGCTGTTATTGGAAATTGGTAACAAAAGCCAAATATTTGGAAAACCGCACAGTTCATTTTAAATGGTGGTGAATGTAATTTTTCAAGAAGAATTTTTGAATAGGTGACACATTCACATGGTTTAAAAATACTAAAAGGTTAATAATAGTCTTTACGTCCTCTTCACCATCACCCAGCTCCTGCATCCACTTCTTGCTTCTCCCCCACTATTAATTTCTTATACGTCTTTTCACAGTTTCTTTGTGCACATCAAAGTAAGAATACAGAGTTTTAACCGTTTTCGAAAAGGCAGGATACCTTGCTACCTGGCTTTTTCCGCTCTGTATCTTGGAGATCTTTTCATATCAGTGCATATGGAGCTTCCTCGTTCTTCTGTTCACATTCGCAGGTTTTCCATAGTTTGGATCTTCCATAGTTTGTTTCCCCAGTCCTGGATCGACAGGCAGTTGGGTTGTTTCCAGTCTTCCGCTGTCACCAGCAGTGCTGTAGTCAGTAACCTGGCACATATGCCGTTTCACACACGTGCCTGTATTTTTCACATATGTGCCTATATTTCTGTGGGATGTGTTCATAAGGGAAATCCTCAGTCAAATGAAATATGTTAGCAATTTTCATAGTTACTGCCACATTCCCACCAGCGTGATATCAGGCTTGGAGTTTTGCCAGTGTGATATGCTGTCTCAGTCTAGTTCTAGTTTGTATTCTTCTCGTGACTGAGTTAAATAGCATCTCTTATATGTTTCACAGGTCCTGGAATTTCTTTCTGCACGCTCTTTATGTCCTTTTTCCATTTTCCTAGTGTTCTTGACTTCTGTGACTTCATCTGAACATGGGTGAAATTAATCCTATTTGTCATGGACAACTCCTGGCTTTCTGTCGTGTAAGTGGATTGAGATTGTGCCACTGAGTAGGATAGGGCTACCTAGGAGATTGAGTACTCCTGTCATCGTGAGGCGGTCATGAACTTGGTGTGGAGATGTTAGAGAGACTGCTGTGTACTTGGGTCTGGCGTTCCCAGGAGGGGCTGAGCTGGAGCTCAGACTGAAGTGGTTTGGTACAGGAGGTGTAGGCACAGGTGAGCGCTCCCAGGGAGAGACGGTGGGCCGAGAGGAGGCGGGGACCTGGGACCACCCTGCAAGAAAGCCTGGCATCTGTCCAGGTGGAGGAGGAGCTTGCAAAGCAGAGAGAGGACCAGTGGCCAGAGGGGGAAGAAGGAAGCCAGGAGAGGGTTTGTGCTCGGGAGAGGTGGGGGCGGGGGCCGGGTGGTGAGTAAATGTGTGTCCTCAGGAGGACCAAACGCCAGTCGGGGAAAGGCTGAACACATGGGTCGGTTTAACAGTGTGGATGTCCTTCGTTTGGTGGTGTGATACATCCAGACAAAAAACTTTATTTGGGTAGGTTAGACCGGGCTTTTATATATGGATACAGAAGGAAGTCCAGGCAGAAGGGATGCACGGGGAGGGGCGCGGGCGGGGAGAGAGGGAGCGCACGTCAGCGTTCCCCAGGACTGACGCGGCATCAGCAGCCAGGCCCCTGGGCCTGTCCAGGGCTGTCGGGTTCTTTGTTCCCAAATCTCCCCTTTCTGTGTCTGCGAGTCCGCCCTCGCCCTCTCCTCTCCACCCTCCCCATATTCCTCTCGCGGCTTTAACGACCCATAAGCCGCTGACCCCAGGTCTCCCTCTTGCCCAGCCTCTCCCGGGGCCCCAGCTGTCCTGCACCTTGGCCACGTTTCCCTAGATGCCTATAGGCACCTCGGGCTCAACAAAGCCGGAACCAAGCTCCATCATTCCTCCCACGTCTGGTGTCAACAAGCTCCTTTGGTGTTCTCTAGCTTGATGGTCCTGCTGTCACCCAGTCACCCCACAAAGCTGTCTGGGAACCATTCCTGGTACCTTCTGTTCTCTGACCGGCCTCCTTTGTTCTGGCCTGTGACTCCCTTGAGAATCTGCTTTTCTTCTCTCCGTATACCCTCCGCCTCCCTGTGGCCACGGCTCAGGCACCTGCTGCTGGTTCCTGTGTGCGACCACCACCACCCCCCGCCCCCGCTTCCAGTGCGTGTGTCTAGCACGGGGGCCTTAGCTCCCTCACCCCCAACCTGTAGGCGTGGTATGGGGGCCCCCTGTGTCTGTCTGGCTCCTCGGGTAAGTAGACCCTGAGGCAGAGTGAGAACTGAAGAGATTTATTAGCAACATCAGGGAGAGTTACAGGTGGAAGAATCCGGATTGAGCAGAGGTGGCCTCAGACTGCAGTGCAGCTCTCACAGCTCTGGCCGACCCCAGGTGGTGGGCAGCTCTGAAGGGAGGGCCGGGCAGCAGTGGCCGCCACGCGAGGGTCGCCCTGGCGTGGCAGCCGAGCACAGACAGGTCTGAGCAGGCCGCCTCACTGCCTCCCCGGCCCTGGCCTTTGGCTTCTTCCATAGTGTTAGCTTCTCTTTAGCAAGACATTCGCTCTGTAATCTGCTTCCCGTACGTCGAACGGGCCAGGCTGTTTTACACCCCTGTGCTTTCATGTTTACTTTTCCTTCTTCCTTAAATCCCCTTCCCTTTGTTTCTTTGCCTGGAAAAGTGTTCTCAAAAGTCATCTCAAGTCTCATAACCATGATGTGTTTCCTGATTCCCCAGCCATTTCTCTGCATCTCTGCACTCACTGTCTTTGGCCTTCCTACTAGTCAGTGAACCCATTAAAGGAAGGCTCTTCATTTTTCAAGTAATTTTATTCCTTGTACTTGCATTTTGAGGTTGGTGTTAAATAAATGTTTGTTGAACTGAATGAAAAAAATGAACTCTCACCAGAAGTTTAGGGTTATTTTTTCCTTTTCAAAGGATGAAAGAAAGTATTCCCTTTTCTATCCCCTGAGCATGGGCCTAGTGTCTGTGGATTAGTACAGATGATGGCCTGTACACCTGGGAGTGGTGACGGGGAGAAAAGAGCAGTTCTCAGACAGGACCATGAGGTACTGCAGTTACGGGACACTTACTTGCCTGCCAGCACTAAACTGATGTGGCCTGGGTGTGGGAAGGTGTGGGAGATGACCAGTAAATCTGGGAAGGTGGCAGGCCCACCTGCGACAGGTGGGAAATCTTATAAATCGAGCTTGTTTTTGTGTTGGAGGAGCAGCTTTTAGAAGACATATGTCAATAAAAATGAAATGTGTGCAAGATATTGATGGTTTGTTCTTTGGTACAGTTCGGACACTTCTGACATTGAAGCAAGTGAAAATGAGTCTGTAAAAATTAGTGCAAAAAAGGTATGTAGGCGTGTTCTCCTATCTTAAATTGTAAGAGATTTCATATCGAGTTAAGTTGGATGCAAATAGAGAAAATGTTCTGTAGCAACGTTTTTCATAGAGTATATAATGTTTTAGAAGATTTTTTTAATAAAAATGAAATATTTTTATATCTGAAGTGTTTCATTACAGAGATCTCAAATCTCTGTGTACCTTGTCAGTTTTCATAGTGTTCATGTAATGTGTTTAGATGGTGGTTTACAAAGGCGGAGTGATTTGTTGGGAGCGTCTGCTTGGAGCCCTTTAGTCAAGGTTTCTCGTCCTGTCCACTAATCGTGTTGCCATCTTCCTATTGCGTTCAGTCTTGAAGTTTAGAGATAAGAAATATGGACTTTATGGTTATCTAATACAATAGGAATGATAAGCATCTTTACTTTCAAAACAGTAATGCTGTTTTCTTGACATAGCCAAGAAGAAAATTCAAGCCCATTAGTGATGAATCTGAAAGCACTGAAGAAAGTGATGTAAGAAGAAAAGTTAAACCAGCAGAGAACTTAAGTACACAACCTGAAGCTGTTTCAGCTACAGCATCTTCAGAACCTTCAGAGAAACCAGCTGAATCGGTCACACTTAAAAAGGTGGGACCCCTTGGTGCCAAGCCCTCTGTTGAAAAAGAGACCCTGGAAACAGAAAGTCAACTGGTAGGAGAGTGTCTGCTATCCCCTTGGATAGAAAAAAAAGTTGATAGAAAATGTCTAGGAGGAAAACAAAGCATTTTCTCTTTTTCCTTCACTTCTTTTAAAAGATAAGTTTTACACTTATTATAAAAATAAGTTTATTTTAGAAAATTTGGAAGGTATGGAAAGGCAGATAAAATCACCTATAATTCCATCATCCCCAAAAAAAATAACCACCACATTTTTTGGTCTATACTCTTCAATTCTTTATTGAGCTTTTCTCACCCTAAGTGGAACCATATCCTTGTCATTAAGTATTCTACATACCATTTTAATAAATGCATGACATTTCATTCATGAACGTGCCATAGTTTAATCTCTTACTAATGAGCAATTGTAATTTTTAAAATGTAAGTGCTTTGATGATTTTCTAGCTAAATCTTTGTGCACATCCTTGATCATTTCCTTAGAAGAAATTGCTATGATAAGATTTCTGGGTGATATGTGTTCTACTTTAAGATTTTTTTTTTTTAATTTAATTTATTTATTTACTGGCTGTATTGGGTCTTCGTTGCTGCGTGCGGGCTTTCTCCAGTTGTGGTGAGCGGGGGCTACTCTTCATTGCAGTACTCGGGCTTCTCACTCTGGCGGCCTCTCCCGTTGCAGAGCACGGGCTCCAGGCACGCGGGCCTCAATAGTTATGGAGCGCAGGCCCAGCAGTTGTGGCTTGGCTCCAGAGCGCAGGCCCAGCAGTCATGGTGCACAGGCTCAGCTGCTCCGCGGCACGTGGGACCCTCCCAGACCAGGGCTCGAACCTGTGTCCCCTGCACTGGCAGGCGGACCCTCAACCACTGCGCCACCAGGGAAACCCCTATTTTAAGATTCTTGACATATCAATATATAATATCTTTTAATCAAGCTTTTAATATGTCATAATATGCCAGCACCTTCATTTTGGCCCACTGAAATGGATTTCAGGCTTCTGAACTCCAGAATTGTGGGAGAAGAAATTTCTGTTGTTTTAAGCCACGAAGCTGTGGTCATTTATTTTAGCAGCCACAGGAAATAAAACATCACCCAGTGACTTTCCCTTTTTAATAGCATGCTTTTGGGTTCTAGAATTTCCTCTTTTTTTCCCCATAGTTTCTACTTCTTGGCTCAGATTCCCTATCTGCATAATCATTAAGACCATCATTTCCTTCTCTGGACGTATTTATAACAGCTGCTTTAAGGTCTTTGTTTTCTAAGTCAGGTAGAGTCAGTCCTCTGTATCTGCAGGTTCCACATCCATAGATTCAACCAACCGCTGATTGGAAATATTTGACAAAAAATTACATGAAGTTCCAGAAAAGCAAAAGTTGAATTTGCCAGCAACTATTTTCATAGTATTTACATCATATTAGGTATTATAAGTAATCTAGAGATGATTTAAAGTTTATAGGAGGATGTATATAGGTTACATGCAAATACTACACCATTTTATAAAAGGGACTTTGAACATCAGCGGATCCCCATGTGGGGGGGATCCAGGAACCATCTTCCTTGGATATTGAGGGATGACTGTATCTGGGCTGTCTCAGGGTCAGCTTCTTTTGAGTACTTTTTCTATCTTGACTATAGGTTACAGCTTTTGTATAACATTTTTAATCTGATACTTTTTGTGTATTGCACATTGTTGATAGGTTGTTGAGATTTTGAGCTGTGTTTTCTTCTGAATGCTGATTTGCATTCTAGTAGGTATCTTAATTATTGGCTGATCATCCTGAACTTCTGTAGTGTGGTTTATCCTTCGTTAGGGCCAATCTGTGGAAAGCCTAAGGTGTCTTCCAAGCCTCTCTAACTCAGTGGGACTCAACCTCTGTAATAGTTCTCAGTAGCTGCATAACAAAATACCCCAAATTTTTTTACTTCAAACAACATACATTTATAACTCACAGTTTCTATAGGTCAGAAGTCCAGGCTCACCTTAGCTGGATTCCCTGCTCGGGGTCTCAGAGGCTGGAGTGAAGGTGCCAGCCAGGACTGAAATCTCATCTGAGGCCCAGGGTCCCCATCTAAGATCATGCAAGCTATTGGTAGAAGAATTCTGATCCTTGCTGTTGTAGGCCTGAGGTTCTTGTTTTCTCTCTGGTTAAAGCAGGGTCACTCTCTGCCCTTATAAGGTCCTGGTCACATGGCCCTCTCACAACATGGCAGCTGACATTTTCAGAGCTAGCCAGAGAATCTTTCCAGTCTGCTGCAGTGGCCTCTTATGAAATGTAACGTAATCGAGGGAGTGACCATCCCATCATATTCACAGGAGCCACCCACACTCGAGGGGAGGGACTTGTCCAAGTCATTGGGGATCTTGCTTACCACACCCTCCCGTCTCTGTCTCCCTGGTGAACCTGGCCAGAGATTGGTTTTAGGCTTTGTCAGGGTGAGTCTAGGGTAGGCCTTACTCTAGAGCAGTGCTTCTCAACCCTCTTCCATTGTTGTCCTAAGAAGCCTTTTTAGACATTTTTCCTCCTAACCATCCCCCCGCAGTTAAATTTTAATATCATAAATATACTGTGTATCTGTGTATATACTAGGTACTTCGGAGGGTCACAAACCATTGTACTATCTGAGAGTTTCTGGCCTGCCCCCTTGGGAACAGTTTCACCCTGTTTGATATCGCATGATCTAGGGTACTGTTCTTACCCCCAAGTTGTGGTCTCTCCCCAAGCTCAGCTGGATAGACGGCTGTTAACTAGCTGTTAATGAGGTCTCTGCATTTTCTCCATCTGATCTCCCCCAGAATTTCTTGTCTGTTACTAGCTGTCAGGTTCTTAATCCCACGATAGCCACGTCCCAGTATACTCTCTGTAGCCTCATGCACATGTGGAGTAGGCGGTCAGGGGCTGTCAGGGACCCGCACCCAGACCTGTGCCCTTCTCCCTGAGCAGCTTACTGCAGGTCTCTGCCTCCCGCGGACAAGGGTTACCACTCTCTGCTGGGACTGGGCCTGCTGTGCTGCTGTCTCAGCTGTCCCCAGGCGTGTGGGAAGGCCGGCAGCCAGAGTCCACCTTCTGAGTCTCTCAGGCTTGTTTTGCCTGTTGTCCAGTGCCTGAATGAAGGTGCCACCCCTCTCCCCACTTCATGGCTGTTTATGGCAAGAGGGCTAGTTCAGAAGCTGTTACTTCCTCTTAGCTTAGTGCAGAAATTGAGCTGATTCCACACAATTATTATCTTAAATAATAAAAGTTCAGTTTCCTCCAAGGCACCCACTGTTACAAGCCAACTGAAAGTTTTAATTACTTTTTATCTTGAGGTGGTGTAATTTTTTTCAGCATTTCCTTATATTAATTTAGATAATTTATATAATTAACTATTAGAACAAAATGAGAATTGTAGCTAAAATATTGACAGTGTCTGATAATACTGTCTTAATTCTGGTTTTAGGAGAAAATCCTCTTAAATAAAAATCTTTGCTGTGGTTTTTTTTGTTTTTTTAAGAAAACTCAGAAAAAGAAGATGTTTCGTGGCAAAAGGAAGAAACCAAGAAGTGAAGCCACAGACTTGGGTATACAATAGTGTTTTATACATAGTCAATCATTCAAGAATTTCTTTTTTAAAAATATATTTCTTAATTTGATAAAGTAGTAAATTTAAGTATATAAAATTGTTACTTTAAAAAGTTAAAAATATGTGACTTTGGAGTAACTGATTTTCCCAGCATCTATCATGAAAATTTTCAACATACAACAAAGGAGAAAGAATTTTACAATATATATTCATAAACCCACTACCTAGATTTTACTGTCAAAATTTATTATACTTGCTTTAGCGCCTATTCATTAATCTATTTTAATTTTTCATAACATAGTATGTACTCTTTTCATACAACATAGTATGTACTCTTTTATAGAAGGCTTCTTTCAGCATAACTTTGATTCATCCATGTTATTTTACATCATTTTTTATTGACACAGTTTATTGAAAAATGGGAGGAAAATACAGCATTTTCTCTCTTTCCTTCAATTCTTTTAAAAGATAAGTTTTATATTTTTCTTATTATAAAAATGCTTATTTTAGAAAATTTCAAAGATACGGAAAGGAAGATAAAATCACCTACAGTTCCATCACCCCAAAATAACTACCATATGTTTTGGTCTTTACTCTTCAATTCTTTTACTGAGCTTTTCTCACACTAAGAGGGCTCAAGTCCTTGTCATTAAATATTCTACAATACCATTTTAATGAATGTATAATATTTTGTTCACAAATGTCCCATAGTTTAGTTAATCTCTTTATTATATTCCTACAGCTATCTGAATCAATACACTCAGTAACCTTTATGTGTCCGAGAAGTGGCCTATCAGTTAGATTAAAACTATGAAAATACAGTTAACAAAGATCTCAATCACCAGTAGTGTTAGATAAGAGCAGACTGTTAAGTAAAGACACAGCAAGGTAATTAAAAGGCAGCAGTGCTTTAGGCTGCTTCAGCAGAAATGGGAGAACCAAGCAGACGGCAGTTAGAGGGTGAGGTACAGACGGGTTTGTGAGACTGACCGGGAGAGGAAGAAGGGAGCATGTCTCCTCCCATGTGCTTCTTCAGAAGTTCTTGCTATTCTTAGCAATTTGGTGGAACTACTTTTGTTGTAGGCTTTTAGAACCCTGGACCTAGAGCTAAACTGTTGGTAATTAGTATATTAAACTGACTTATCCTAATGTTGTAGATACTTCCGACTGTGTACCTATTTGGTGTTTAAAAGAAAAGAAAACCAGTGACATCATGGAGTTAGATGTCGTTTTGTCTGCATTTGAGAACATCCTCCTAGAGTATAAGTAAGTCTTTTGATATTGTGATATATGGACCTAATAAATTTCCCTGGAAACAGCACTTCTACTCTCCACAGCTGCTGATATGTAGAATTTTTCATTATCACTGTTTTGCATATTTTTAAACTTCCATTATGATTTTTTTCTTTAAGCCTGTGAATTATTAAGTAGTATGTTTTTATATGTCCAAATATGTGGCTTTTTAATTTATATTTTTGTATTAACCTTCCATCTTAAATAGTTACAGCCAAATTTCATGGACTGGTGATACCTCTTTTTGAAACATTAAGGCTTTATGGCCTGGCACATAATCTGTGGGAAAGCTCTAATTAGTGGTTCTATGTAGAATCTCTAATTATTGTATCTATGTGGAATCAGTATTACTCAGTTTTTCCTGGTACTTCTATCAATTTATGCTATTTATATAGAGAGATTATTTTATTAAGACATCATGTTTAAAATTGCTCTTTTATTATTTTATTTTTGGCTGTATTGGGTCTTTGTTGCTGCGTGTGGGCTTCCTCTGATTGCAGCGAGCGGGGGCTACTCTTCGTTGCGGTGCGTGGGCTCTAGGCACGCGGGCTTCAGTAGTTGTGGCACGTGGGCTCAGTAGTTGTGGCTTGCGGGCTATAGAGCGCAGGCTCAGCAGTTGTGGCACATGGGCTTAGTTGCTCCGTGGCATGTGGGATCTTCCTGGACCAGGGCTCAAACCTGTGTCCCCTGCATTGGCAGGCGGACTCTTAACCACTGCGCCACCAGGGAAGCCCTAAAATTGCTCTTTTAGATTGAACATTTTATCCTTATGTAGTGACCCCTTCCATTCCTAAAAATGCTTTTTGTCTTAAAATCTATTTTATCTGATACTAATATGTCACTAGATTTCTTTTGCTAGTATTTGCCAGATTTTATATTCTTTTAACTTTCATTTCCAACCTTTGTCTCACCTTAAACTTTCTTATAAAATCTTTTTTAAATCCAAAGTGTCCATCTTTGAATTCCACCTGTTGACTTTAGTCCATTTACATTTATTTTAATTATCCATATATTTAGAAGAATGTACTGATCCACTGTTTTTACTTAAAAAAATTTTCTTTTTACTTTTTGATGTTTTTAAATCCTGTATAACTTAAAAAAAAAAAATAGAATTTACAACTCCCCACCAATAAGGTTAGAATTTTGGCAAGCTCTCATGTCTTAGTCTTCTCACCCTCCCCCCACCCCAAAACCCATCATGTTTATAATACTTAGAGACTTTAATTCTGGGAGAAGGGCTATCACAGTTGATGTGAAATGGCTTCTCTGACCTGTTTCAACGTGGGTTCTTGACTTTGAACTTGCCAGGGTACTGCAACTTCTCAACTGGTTTCTGGAGTTCTCATAAAGGCTTTTCGGGGCCATAGGTAGTTGTTAAGTTGGTTTCCCTGTGGGGTTTCCTATTCTACCGTCTTCTGATATCACTAGAAATATTCCATTTTGTTTTTTTGATGAAAACTTCTTCAAAAATCTGTATTCAGGGCTTCCCTGGTGGCGCAGTGGTTGAGAGTCCGCCTGCCGATGCAGGGGACACGGGTTCGTGCCCCGGTCTGGGAAGATCCCACATGCCGCGGAGCGGCTGGTCCCGTGAGCCATGGCCGCTGGGCCTGCGCGTCCGGAGCCTGTGCTCCACAACGGGAGAGGCCACAGCAGTGAGAGGCCCGCGTACCGCAAAAAAAAAAAAAAAAAAAGTCTGTATTCAGATGTGTAGGCCTTCTCTTATGTTATGCTTAGCTTCTGAAGAATTAGGCCATGGGTTTAGTCCCCTTATGCTGGGTGACTTTTCCTCATGGATTTGCCCCAAGAAAAAAATAACTATAAGATAAACTGTCACACAAGAGATTTATTTTCGATTAAAAGCACAGTTCATAGTGGCGCACTGTGCCGAGGCAGAGTAGGGCTGGCTGCCGCCCCGGCAGTGTGTGCACTGCTCCTGCACAGTCGCTGTGGGTCTGTGTCCAGCCAGAATGAGCCAGACGGGAGACTGGGCTCTTTTGTCCCTGATGACAGGGACCTGAGCCAGTTTTGGGTCAGCTTTATAGTTTTGCAGAACTGAATGGCTGGCTTCTGGCTACTTACTCATTCGTTAGTCCAGGTGTGTTATACAATTATTTCTACAGTTATAGCAGGGAGGGAGGAAGGAAGGGGCTAAAGTCTGCTGGTCACTGGATCAGGCAGCAGAAAAAGACAGGGATTGGCTGTAAACATTGCTTTCTACATGGCTTAGTGTCACCTGTGGATGTGGCCAGTGTCAAGGAGTGCTGACTACATACATGAGGGTTTGGGGGAAATATTTCCTGTTCTTTTTCTTTTGTTTGTTGAGATGTTTCCAGTATTTTTTTAAATCTGAGAAAGGGCTGCAAGCTGACCATGCCATCTTAGATATTCAGAAGGGCACATACCAAACTGTGTGTGTGTCTATGGGTGTGCTAAACAAATGCAACACACCTTTCAAAATCCTTTATGTAATACCTAAGTTTAACTTTCTTTATTCTGCTATAGACAAAAAACAGACTCTAGAATTTGTAAGGAAGCCATCAACAAATTTCATTCTAATTTGAAAGAAGAACTCATCAAAATGGTAAGTTCATTGACATAAATTTGTTGGTCTAATCCTGAGCAGCATACTGTTATCTTAGAGAAGCTTGCATTTGCTGGCAATATGGTAAAGAACTCATTAGAACTACATATTTCACATGTTGTTTTTAAACTAGATGTGGTTATATTGTAAACTGATAAACAGTTAACTGTGGAAAATGCAGGCGAATATTTATTTTTTGTTTTGTGTAGCTTAAAGAAATCCAGATGTTGAAAACTCTGAAAAGGAAGAACACTAAGGTAACTCACTTACGTGATTAGAAACACAGTCCTGTAGAACATGCATATATGTAGAGTTAAGTAAAGACCTGACTCTGGGTTTTACGACCTTGAGAGTTTGTATAAGATCTTTTATCTTTTTAGTCAGGCTTTTCTTTGATCTGGTGATTGATCAGATGAGTATCCTGCAAGCTGAGGAACTGGGGATCCTCATTAGCCTAAAAATGGCTCTTAAGCCCAAAATGGCCACTTATATGGATAAGTATTAAGTAATGTATATTTATCACTGCTGTGTATGTCAAAAACCTTTTAGACTAAAGAACTGTCTTATGTCTCAGGTAAAAGGGCAGCCTGGGAAGAATCCTGGGTTAAGGGTCAGGAGACCTCCTTTCTTGTTCTGGTTCTGCCCCTTCAATGCACTGTATGCCACTAGGTTTGCAAGGAAACACGAGGCCCTCCTTGCCCATCTGTTTGTAGTTGGACCACTTGACATCCGATGTTCTAGCTCCAAACTTGCATGAACCTACGTGTAGAAGCACAGCTCCCCCTCTACACTTATAACAGAAATGGATTTGAAATGTATACATTTTCCTTCTGGTGATTATAAGCCTTTGTTGTTTTTCAGTTTTAGTCTCCTGTTGTCAATTCTGCATTTCTTATAAGCAAGCAGTAGTAGTCTGAATGTCCAGCAGTGGAATATGAGGTAGTCACTAAAAGTGATAGTTGAGATAATACAGCGTATTATATTGAAATGTCCTTTTTAAAATACAAACTGTGTCATGACACTCCCCTGCTTCAATATTTTTCTAGTGTCCTAGATAAAATGGAGACTCCTTCCTTTATAGCTCACAGGGTGGTAAAGATCTGACCCCAGTTCCTCTTTAAAGTTGTCCTCAAGTGGAAGACCCCTGTTCTTTCCCTTCATAGCATGTATCACAAGTTGTAATTACATCCTGTTTGTATGTAATATCTATCTTCCCTATTAGACCAAAGTTCCATGATGGTAAGAATGGGGTTTGTCTTGTTTCCCACTATTATTTCCAATACAGTGTACAAGGCAGTGCTCAATATTTACAAAATTAATTTAACTGTCGTGTTACTTAGATGATCTCAGATATCGAAAAGAAAAGGCAACGTTTGATTGAAGTCCAGGATGAACTGCTTCGGTAAGATAATATCAAAATCCTCTTTGAGAACCTACAAGAAGGATTTAATCACGATATGCCATGCGAGGCTTTGTTGCAAAACTTGCTGCTGTGCTGCGTTTAAACCCCAGGCTTCTCTGAGCTTGGAAGCTCAGTGAAGGCAGGCTTTGCTGCCAAGTGGAGAAGCTGTGAGCGGAGGGGAATTCAGCAGTGGCCTGTCCCCCCATGAGAGCTCTCAGTTCTGGCCCGAGAGGCAGCCGAATTAGAGACTTAGTGCATGCATAGACTCTATCTAGAACCAGACTGCCTGGCTTTGAATCTAGGCTCTGCCACTTACTGGCTGTGCAACCTTGGGCAGGTTACTTAACCTCTCAATGCCTCAGTTCCCTCATTTGTAGATGAGCACAATGATAACTATACCTCACAGGGTGTTGTGAGGTTTAAATGAATAAATATACAGAAAGTGCCTCACGGAGACTGGGATACAGTAAGTTTTGTATTAAGTGTTAACAGTTTTTGTCAATCTTGTTGAAAGGTATAGCTTGGCATGGCACTCGTGTGAGTCCATTCCCAAGTGTTGGGCCAGGACAGTTTCCACCAGGGCTGTCTCCATGGTCTGGTTAGGAAGACGAGCACAACCCATCAGCTGGTCAACGAACTAGTATTTTTTGGTGGTCTTCCATACAGACAGGGCTGCTGTGTGAGCTGGAGGGTTGGTAGTAAAGCAGTAGAAGGATAAGCAGTATCACATATGCTCTCTGCTCTTAAGGAGTTTAAAATAGCTTGAAAAAGTGGTCTTATCAGAAAAGACAACCTATAATTTTTTAAGTACTAAGTTTTAAAGATGAGATGGCCACAGAAATTTAGAAGTGGGAAAAATTGGTTGTCTAGGCCTTTGGTTTCCAAATCTGGTGTATGGACAGGTGCTGCTGGCCCATGCTAAAGCTTTCATTGGCCCAGGCCAAAATAAGAAAGATAATGAGAGGAAGCTTTTTAAGGTGTTAGCTGTGTGTGTTGGGCACTGTCCTATAAATGCTTTACATACTAACTCATCGCTGTAACCCTGTGAGGTAGGTTATTTGGCCATATAAGATAACTACAGAAGACTCATCTGTCTTTGAGATCTACTGTTCCTTTTCTAGATAGAATTTTAAAAGTTGAGAAGTATAATATTTTGAAAAGGCACAGAAAGAGAAAAATGTATGTCATTATTGTAACTTTACATGTGAAAGACCTAAGGCACAAGGCAGTAACTGACCCTCAGCCACCCGCCTAGGAAGTGAGGGAGCCACGGTCTGGTGTCTGCTGACTGGCTCCAAATCGAGCACTCCTGCCCACAACCCAGATGGCACAGTGAGTTTTCCAGAATGCAGCACTTGTTCAGTGTATGGAACTGTTATGAGGACTTTTCTTTTGTAAAATGATATCAGAGCATAGTGTTTTTTTTTGTATCTTCATTTGTGAGAATAAAAGATGGTAGCCTCTCCCCATTTTATAAATTGGTTCACAAAATCCAAGTTATACCTTTTTATTTTATAGGTTAAGAAACTAATAATCTACTGAGAGAGAGAAAGCAGGTTGCCCAAGGTCACACATTTCATCCAGGCACTGAGAGTGTTTTTCCACTGGTTTTATTAGACCTTGGAAATGGACAAAATTTCAGCAAGAGGAAGGGGCAGAGGGAAGGCTTTCTGTCCATACTTTTACTGTTAAACTGCAATGCCCGTCTACTTCCGCCTGGGGCGCTAAAATCTTTACCCAAGTATATGTTTTAATTCAATAGTTCCCAAGACTTTAAAAATGACTCGATGAGTTTTAGGACATAACAGGCATACTCGTCTGTGGGCTTCATTGCTGAGCACTCGTTGTGCATCAGGTCTCAGAGTCTTTTCTGTGTATTGAGTCCAGAGTCGTTCATGTTTGTAATTTCAGAGCCAAAGATACCTCGGACCACCTAGGCCACCTTCCCTGCTTTTTTAAAGCTTCACTCAGCACCCTGACATACTCCATCTCATCTACCTTATTAGGCTGTTGTTACACTTTATGTCATTTATTTTCGGGAAAAATTTTTTTTTGTTTTAGGTTAGAACCAGAGCTGAAACAACTACGAATAAAGTATGATGAACTTAAGGAGAGAAAAGCTTCCCTTAGGAATGCAGCATATTTCTTGTCTAATTTAAAACAGCTTCATCAAGATTATTCAGATATTCAAGAGGAAGAACCAAATGTAAAGGAAACGGTAACTTCAGTTTTCACTTTTCACTGTGCTTCAGAAGATACAGGGCATTTGCATGCTACAGTACAAGAGCTGTGGAGAGGCAGCCGTTGGTGTTGGTGTCTACCCAAAAAGCATCTCTATAAATTGGTGAAAATTTGTTATCACCACTTCTTTAGTTAATTAATTAAGGCCAGAGGAGTAAAGAAAAATCCAGAAACATTGATTTTACTAAGATGTTATACTTTAAGCTTCAGAGAACTGAATTTCTTTAAGGGAAGTGTATCCTGTGTACACATCTCAAGTGAACAGCTATGCTTTATTACTGTAATTGTCAACGTAAGACCACTCATACATGTTATAAAGACCAACCTCTTGTTCTTTGTTCACCTCATACTTTTAGTATTTTTGTATCTGAAAAACTAGCCATTATCCCATTATAAATGGTAGGTGTAATTTTAGAAGTTGAGAAATATTAAAAAGGCATGTAGTAGGGAAAAATGTGGTAAATTTTTTTTTATTGAACTATAGTTGATTTACAATGATTCAGGTGTACAGCAGTGATTCAGTTATATACATATATGTATATAAGAATCTTTCATATTCTTTTCTGTGTTATTACAAAATACTGAATATAGTTCCCTGTGCTATATAGTAGGTCCTTGTTGTTTATTTTATATATAGTAGTATGTATATGTTAATCCCAAACTCCTAATTTATCCCTTCCCACCGCATCTTTCCCCTTTCGTAACCGTAAGTTTGTTTTTGAAGTCTGAGTCTGTTTTGTTAATAAGTTCATTTGTATAATTTTTCTAGATTCCACATGTAAGTGATATATTTATATGACATTTGTCTTTCTCTTACTTCGCTTAGTATGATAATCTCTGGGTCCATCCACGTTGCTGCAAATGGCATTATTTCATTCTTTTTTATGGCTGAGAAATATTCCTTTGTATATATATACCACATCTTTATCCATTCCTCTGTGGATGGACATTTAGGTTGCTTCCATGTCTTGGCTATTGTAAATAGTGCTGCAGTGAACACTGGGGTATCTTTTCAAATTATGGTGTTTTTTAAAAATTAATTTTTGGCTGCACTGGGTCTTCACTGCTGCACGCGGGCTTTCTCTAGTTGCGGTGAGCAGGCTTCTCACTGCTGTGGCTTTTCTTGTTGCGGGGCACGGGCTCTAGGTGTGCAGGCTTCAGTAGTTGTGGCACATGGGCTGTAGAGCGCAGGCTCATTTGTGGCGCACGGGCTTCATTGCTCTGCAGCATGTGGGATCTTCCCAGACCAGGGCTTGAACCCATGTCCCCTGCATGGACAGGCGATTCTTAACCACTGTGCCACCAGGGAAGCCCTATGGTTTTCTTCAGATATATGCCCAGGAGTGAAATTGCTGGATAACTTGGTAGTTCGATTTTTAGTTTTTGAAGGAACCTCCGTACTGTTCTCCATAGTGGCTGTACCAATTTACATTCCCACCAACCATGTAGGAAGGTTCCCTTTTGTCCACACCCTCTCCAGCATTTGTTGTTTGTAGACTATTTGATGATGCATTCTGACCAGTGTGAGGGGACACCTCATTGTACTTTTAATTTGCATTTCTATAATTAGCAATGTTGAGCATCTTTGCATGTGCTTTTTGACCATCTGTATGTCTTCTTTGGAGAAATGTCTATTTAGATCTTCTGCCCGTTTTTTGATTGGGTTGTTTTTTTGATATTGAGCTGCATGAGCTGTTTGTATATTTTGGAAATTAATACCTTGTTGGTTGCTTTGTTTGCAAATATTTTCTCCCATTCTGTGGGTTGTCTTCGTTTTGTTCATTATTTCCTTTGTTGTGCAAAACCTTTTCAGTTTAATTACATCCCATTGGTTTATTTTTTAAATTTTCATTACTCTTGGAGGTGGATTCAAAAAGATATCACTGCAATTTATGTTGAAGAGTGTTCTGCCTACGTTTTCCTCTATAAATACTATACTAATAAAGAGTTTTATAGTATCCGGTATAGAACCGGGTATATCTTTCCACCTGTGTCCTCTTCAGTTTCTTTTATCAGCATCTTAATTTTCAGAGTACAGGTCTTTTGCCTCCTTAGGTAAGTTTATTCCTAGGTATTTTATTCTTCTTGATGTGATGATAAATGGGATTGTTTCCTTAATTTCTCTTTGTATTTCATAGTGTATAGAAATGCAGCAGATTTCTGTATATTAACTTTGTATCCTGCAACTTTACCAAATTCACTGATGAGCTCTAGTAGTTTTCTGGTGGTGTCTTTAGGATTTTCTATGTATAGTATCATGTCATTTGCAAACAGTGACAGTTTTACTTCTGTTCCAGTTTGGATTCCTTTTCTTTTTTCTTCTCTGATTGCTGTAACTAGGACTTCCAAAACTACATTGAATAGAAGTGGCAAGAGAGGGCATCCTTGTCTTGTTCTTGATCTTAGAGGGAATGCTTTCAGCTTTTCACCATTGAGTATGGCGTTAGATTTGGGTTTGTCACATATGGCCTCTATTATGTTGAGGTAAGTTCCCTCTATGCCCACTTTCTGGAGAGTTTTTATCATAAATGGGTGTTGAATTTTGTCAAAAGCTCTTTTGCATCTACTGAGATGATATTATTTTTATTCTTCAGTTTGTTAGGTATATCACATTAACTTGTAGATACTGAAAAATCCTTAGATCCCTGAGATGAGTCCCACTTGATCATGGGTGTGTGACTCTTTGAAAAATGTATTGTTGGATTTGGTTTGCTAGATTTTATTGAGGATTTTTGCATCTGTTCATCAGTGATACTGGCATGTACTTTTTTGAGATATCTTTGGTTTTGGTTTGGTATCAGGGTGATGGTGGCCTCATAGAATGAATTCAAAAGTATTCCTTCCTCTGCAAATAGTTTCAGAAGGATAGGTATTAACTCATCTCTAAATGTTTGGTAAAATTCACCTGTGAAGCCATCTGGTGCTGGACTTTTGGTTGTTGGGGGATTTTAAATTACTGATTCAATTTCGGTAACTAGTAATTGGTCTGTTCATATTTCCTGTTTCTTGCTTGGTTCAGTTTTAGTAAACTTTGTAGTTGGTTCTGATTTTTGCTACAGACTTTGCTGTTATGATAACCAACTCAGATTAATAGAAATATTTAAATTATAGGGAAAATTTGTATATTTTATATAAAATTATGATATACAAATATATAATGTATACATACAGCTTATTCTTCACTTCCAGTTTTGATACTGATCTAAAAGTTAGGCTCAGGAGAATAAAGATTTGTTTATATATTCAGTATATTAGAGATCTGGAAACAGAATGTTTTTAATTTTTTTTGACAGTACTTATCTGGTCTAAAGCTTATTTGGAGTTGGGGATTTTGGTTAGTAGAAGAAATTAACAATGGCATTGGTTGAATTTGAACATTATAACTCTGATGAGAACTGAGACTTAGTGACTGCCTTGTTTGGAATACATGACTCTTACTAACGTCTTGTTCTGTGCAAGCCTTCAGGCGTTCTGGACTTCCGTTGTAGCAGCTGTGCGTTATGCTTTCAGAGTGTAGATACTGGGGTATGTGTCTTACCTCTTCTAAACTAAGAATCTAGCACCAAATGTTAGTTCTTCCCCTTGCCCACCCTCCCTGAGAGCAGGTGCCCCATGGTAGCCTGAACACATTAGGCTCTCAAATACTTGTTAAACTGAATTGCCTAGTAATATGGTAAGTGATATTCTAGAAAAAGTTCCATTATTATTGGGTGGTAGTCAGTCTGACAGCTTTTCTGCTTAATTTCACTTCCAAGAAAATCACCTTGAAAACATAAGCAACAAACTGTCATAAGTATGATACAGCTGTCGGGTGATTTTAGTCACTCACCCTTAGATACAAATTGCATCGTGATATTTGGCTTTGTTAATTATTTCAAAATCATGAGTTGAGCTTTGTTTTCTATTTTACATTGGGTTTGTATTTAATTTTGTCTGTAATCCTTAAGGACAGTTTGGATTAGCAACTTTTAAGACACTTTATTGATCTTCCCAGTAAGTAATTTTTCCAGATGATGAATTTTAGGGGGACCTGCTGTTCTCGTTCCATCAGTTCTTATAGTAAAAGTAAATCTTCCACATGGTTTCCTGTGTTTAAAAGAGCATGAGATCAAGCCGACCCCACAGAGCTCTAGCTGACTTGCCCAAACCAGGTCATACCCTGTCCCAGGGATGATTTTGTTTTAAATAATTCAGATGCCACAATTCTTTGAGCCAATTTATCTCCCGGGATGATTAGCTCAAGCTTTGCAGAGCAGTTCCCTTGCAACCTTCCTTATCAATTGTCCTAAGGCAATGAATTAAAACAAATTTTATCAAAAAAAATGAGAGGAAGAGTGATTCAGAGAAACCTCTATTAATATTGGCATTTGGTCATAACATTGAGCTACATAAAATGGATAGGGTTCTAAAAGTTTTTGATATTTGTTATTCTGAATATTTTCCCTCAACAGTATGATTCATCCAGCCTTCCAGCTCTGCTATTCAAAGCAAGACCCCTTTTGGGAGCTGAAAACCATCTGCAAAATATCAACTATCAATTAGAGAAGCTCCTTGACCAGAAATGAGACCAGTCTACTAAAGTGTGCACATATAAAGATTAGTCTCATGCTACTGCCTGTTACCTTCTGAAACTGTATGTATTTTTCCACAAAGGAGATGGGGGGGGAGAAAACCCAAACTTTATTACTATTAATTTGAATTGAATATTTCTTTTGTTATGTTATAGCAACATTCTCAGGTACATTTAAAAAAAGTAAACTTGTCTAATTGTTCAGGCTGGTTGTATGGTCTTGTCACCAGAATTTAATATTACTTTTGTCATTAAAATTAAATGGCTAGGTATAGTAGTTTTAATAGTTAATTTTTCTGGTTAATGTCAAGTAATGAGTTTCAAAATGTTTTAAAATGTTGACACCTAATCAGCCCGAGACATACAAAAGTTTTACTGTAGAAATAAACATGCAAAATTAAGCCGATATGAACAAAGACTAATAACTTTGGTTAATCAAATAAGGAGACTTATACTGAATTTAAGCACACTGGAGCTAATTTTCAATAAAACTGGTTTACTTCAATAAATAAGATTTGGAAGCAAGCAAAGTAATAAAACTTAGCTGATACAACAGGCTTTATAAATTACTAGTTTGTTATTAAATCTCTTTTCAAGCAGATTACAGCCTAGTTATGTAAGTGTCCATCATTAGCTACTCTTGTAATACTTCTGTAATTAGTTCATCAGGAATTTCATCAATTCCATTATAACCGAGAAGACTGTTCTCTGCAGCGTCTGCCAATTCAGCATCTTCTGTAGCCTCCAAGATATAAGCATCATCAATGCCATTATCCCAGTCAGCATCAGAAAATGTACCTTTTGACGATGCACTAGATGATGGTTCATGAGGATTCTTGGTTTCATTGTCCCTTGTTTCATCTGTTGTAAACTCCTCTTCCTTTAGTTCCAAAGGGGAGGGAGAGTAGAGTAGGAAGAAAATACTTATTCAGAGAGAATGTATGATTTCACCATACAGTCGATCTCTACTGAATTATTCAGTTCAACAGATATTAAATTGAAAACTGGATGATACTGTCTCCAATACAGTCACCAGGGGAATGGGCTCACTGTTGCTGCCTTTGTGGCACACTCTTGAAACTCCAAATTTAGAAATGCCGGCAGTTCCTGTGGTACATTCTTTTCAATGTACACAGATGGGGCTACAGCAAAGGTAAGACTGATTTTTTAAAAACAGTGGATAGTCTAGCTAAAGGCAAACTGGTTTTTAAAATGCATCTGCTATCTTAACATATTTCTCTATCTTTAAAGTATTTTAAAAATTAACATGGATTGAAAAAAGTTATGAAGAACAGTTTTGAGACAACTGTCAAAGTATGTGTGGATTTGTATATTAAATAATATTGTATCAACATGAAATTTCCTGAGTGAAATAATTTCACTGTAGGTATATAAGAATGTTCTTTATCTTAAGTATGTAGCAGGAGAATAAGAAGGATTTTGATGTCTGCAACTTATTCTGAAGAGATTTGTTATGAACTGAATGTTTATGTACCCCCCATCCCCAATTCATGAGGTTGAAATCCTAACCCTCAATGTGATAGTATTAGGAGGTGAGGTCTTTGGCAGGTGATTAGATCATGAGGGCAGAACCCTCATGAATGGGATCAGTGCCCCCTTATAAAAGACCACAGAGGGCTTCCCTGGTGGCACAGTGGTTAACTGGTGGCACAGTGGTTGAGAGTCTGCCTGCCGATGCAGCGGACATGGGTTCGTGCCATGGAGCGGCTGGGCCCGTGGGCCATGGCCGCTGAGCCTGCGAGGCCACAGCACTGAGGGGCCCGCGTGCCGCAAAAAAAAAAAAAAAGACCACAGAGCGCTCTGTGATCCACAGAGCGCTCTGTGATCCCTTCTACCAAGGAAGGACACAGTGAGAAGACAGCTCTCAAAGACCCAGGAAGCTGACTTGAGTCTGCCAGCACCTTGATCTTGGGCTGACCAGCCTCCAGAACTGTGAGAAATTTGTTGTTTTTAAGTCAGTCTAAGGTACTCTGTTATAGCAGCCTGAAATGCCTAGACAAGATTCATCAAAAATGATGTGTTGGGCTTCCCTGGTGGCGCAGTGGTTGGGAGTCCGCCTGCCGATGCGGGGGATACGGGTTCGTGCCCCGGTCTGGGAGGGTCCCGCGTGCCGTGGAGCGGCTGGGGCCGTGAGCCATGGCCGCTGGGCCTGCTCGTCCGGAGCCTGTGCTCCGCAGTGGGAGAGGCCGCGGCAGTGAGAGGCCCACATACCGCAAAAAAAAAAAAAAAAAAAAAATGATGTGTTATGTGTACAGTAGAGGGAGAAAACAAGTGTGGCCAAATGTTTAACAAGTCTAGAGGAAGGGTGTACAGGAGGGTTCCTTGTTCTGCTGCAACATTTTTGTAGGTTGAAACTTCTTTTAAAACCAGATGAAATTATTAAAACTAAGTGATAGGTTTATTATTACTGTTGTTATTTTAAATAAAAAGACAAAATAAATTAAATCCAAGCAGTGGTAATACTGTACACCAAAAATACTTTCAACTTGGCATTTCTGAGGTATTACTGGATAGGCAGGAAAAAAAATCAGTTTTAAGAAACCCACTGAAACCACAAACATGCATCAGAATAACACTCCAAATGAACAAGGAAAAAATATTCTTCTTAGAGGCACAATTTAAAATCTTTTTTCTTGGTTATCTCTTTAGTTCACCAGAGAATCTGGCTATCAGCTATTTTATATCCAGCTCCTACAGATCAAGAATGAGATTTCTACCACTGCAGTATGAATATTTTCAGGAGACTTTTTAAAATCAAATTTAATAGGTACCAGTCAAATTATCTAGATTGTAAACTCAAGCACTAATTCAGCTTGTAGCAGGTTACTTTCATTTTAACTGTAACACTATAAAAAGGCTGATAGATGTGGGGGGAAAACACTAAAAAAGTCTAGAAAATAACATGACAAAAGAGTACTTAATGAAAAGTTCTTGTAAAATATTAATAAGACCCCATATAAAAGGAGAGGGCAGTTACAGGCATTAAACTGCATTAATAAGTGTAAATTAAAACACCTGAAATACCACTTTATGCCTACCAGGTTGGTAGAGATCAAAAGGCAAAAAAAAACAAGCAAGGTTGGCAAGTGTAGGGTAATAAATAGGTACTCCCATAAACTGAAATCTAATTTCCTGTCATTTTTTGGAGACCAGTTGGTAATATGTATGGAAAATATCTGTGATAGTTTAAGTAGGAAAAAAAGCCTACAATATAGTACATATACTATGACTAAAAAAACATGAGGGTACACAGATAACAAATTCTGGAAGATACAGACCACAATATTTACATCAGTTATCTGCGTGGTCAAATTATAAGTGACGATGCTTTTTTCCTTTTGTGCTTTATGTATTTTCTAATGTTTGTGTACATTCATTAATGTAAATTACTTGGGTAAATAAAAGTTTTAAAAAGAAAAATACTGGTTTGGCAATCTAGTAATATCTACCAAAATTTAAAATGCATATACCCTTTGACACAGTTCTACTTCTAGAAATTCTTCTTATAAAGAAACAATATATTTTGTTATACTTCATAAAGCAAAAAATGAGAAATTTATTAAATGTCTGAAACTGGTTAAATAGCTAGCTACATTAATTTCATATGCAGCAGTGGGAAAAAATGAGGTTCATATTATGAGATTTATGCTGATGAGACAATCACTACAACATATTCCTAAGTGAAAACAAGGTACAGAACAGGGTGTTTAAACAGTATCTGGACACCATTAGCTCATTTACCATTGTGCCAAGAATTAGTTAGTAATGAGAAGGAAACTAAAAACTGCACTTACCTCTTTGAGAAGAAACAGGAGACGCACTTCAGCAGGTAATGGGAAACCTGAATAAAACAGTAGAACTATTATATAAATATCTAATTTTTACTTTGTGGTAAATGTAAAAATTAGTAACTCACAGTCAGATTTGAAGTTTTCTGCTTTACATATAGGGTCATGACATTTTTGATACCAAACTTCATTTTTCAGGTCAACCAAAATCCTTTACATTAAAAAAAGAAGAAAAAATTATTTACTATCTAGACTTGATAGAAAACAATTCAGCTACATGCCATTTACAAGAGATATGCCTAAGACTTAGAGATGGAGAAAAGTTAAAAAGTAAAAGGATGAAAATAGACACTTACTTGGCAAACCATGGTTGCCAAAAGTACCACAGAAGATGAACTTCTGGGCAAAAATTACATACTGACAAAAGTTCCTCCCAGGAATATACAATTCCCAACTTCTATCCACCAAATAAGAGAACCTCGAAATATGTGAGCAAAACCAACCAAGGGTAAACAAATCTTCAACCATAAATCAAGATTTTAAAAAAACTATTCTTTTCATAATTGATACCAAACAACTCCCCAAAACTCAGGATATCAAAAATTTGAGAATTTAAAACAATTATAAAAATTGACTATGCTAGGTACAACATGAATCATCAAATTTAAAAGTATTCATTCACACAACACATTCTCTGATCACAAAGCAAATTATTTAGAAACAAGCAACAAGAAGATAGCTAACTAAAACTCAGAAATTTAAAACTTTTTTTTTTTTTTTTTTTTCTGCAGTACGTGGGCCTCTCACTGTTGCCTCTCCCGTTGTGGAGCACAGGCTCCAGACGCGCAGGTTCAGCGGCCATGGCTCACGGGCCCAGCCGCTCCGCGGCATGTGGGATCTTCCCGGACCGGGGCACAAACCCGTGTCCCCTGCATCGGCAGGCGGACTCTCAACCACTGCACCACTAGGGGAGCCCTAAAACATTTTTCTTAATAACCAAATGACTCAAGGAAAAACCATGATGGAAATTAGAATATGCTTAGAACTGAATGGAACTGAAATTACATATTAAAATATGTGAGGGGAATTCCCTGGCAGTCCAGTGGTTAGGATTCCACACTGTCACTGCCGAGGGCCCAGGTTCAATCCCTGGTCAGGGAACTACGATCCCACAAGACGCATGGTGGGCACCGCCCCCCAAAATACATAAATAAAATATGTGAAACAGAGCCAAAGTGATCTTTAAAAAGAAATTTAGAATCCTAAAAGCTTATTTACAAAAAAAATGGCTAAACAACTTACTTCGAGAAGTAACAGAATAAACTTTAATAAATTGAAAGGCAGGAAGTAATAAAGAACAAAAATTTAGAAAAATCAACAAGGACAAAATGTGAAGACTAATGAAATTCTTTCAAGATTAAACAAAAAAAAGGTAAAGACATGTTATTAGAAACTGGGATATAACTACAAATGCAAAATATACTAAAAATGTACTATTATGAACTTTTTCCAATAATGTTGAAAATTTTGGTAGAAGAGACAAAGTACTAGATAAGAATATACCAAACCAAGCAAACTTAAACTTACAGAAAACCCAAACAATCCTATAACCACTAAAAATTTTTTTTTTAATTTAAGTAGTTTAAAATCTTCCCACATTTCACAGAAAAGGAAACATAGAATGGTTAACAGTCTATGTGGTATTGGGACATTTACCAAGGAGAGAAAAATGCTGGCAACCCAGTCTAATGGCCCCATAAACATTCCAATAGACTTCCTAATAAACAGACTAATGCTACAGTTCCCAAACTATACACCAAAGTGCCCCAGAGTGACGTAGGATATTTATCTTTCTAGGGAAACGGTGATACCACATCTGTCAAGCACCCCGCAAATTACTTGCTTGTAATTCATAGCTTCAATATATCTATCACCTTTCTTCATTCCTTTCAGTGATGTCCTATCTTTGTAGAGCTGGGTTTTTTGGTGGTGGCTGTGATGGAAAAGTACCACAAATGTGGAATGAGACGTGACAGTGAGGGTGGCAGTGTCCAGCCTAATTCCAAGGTTTTAAGTTTATCCAATGCTCAAAAGGACACACATCCCATTAATAATTATATTTAAGGAGGTTCTTACTACTACTGTATTACATATTTGGAAATTGTTAAGAGTAAATCTTAAGTTCTCATCACAAAAAAACAAAATTGTAACTGCATCTATCCATGGTGATGGATGTTAACTAGACTTATTGTGGAGATCATTTTGCAATCATGTTGTACACCTGAAGCTAATGTACTGTCAATTATACCTCAATTTTAAAAAATGAAATACAAATATTTTCTTTCAATTGATAAAGTTTTTTTCAAAGAGCTACTAAATTATTAGGACAAATACTAAGTTGCTTGAAACTGATTAATAAACAAACTGTTAGGTATTTCTTTTGTCCTTGGAGCAATGTGAAAAAATTATTACGATACTAAGGGCAACGTAACTGAGAAAGTCTGGGGACCAATGGCAATTTGCTAAGTTGAGAGTCCTTATCTACGCAGAATGTTCTTCGCAGGATGTTTCTGCATATGGTAAACAAACCTAGAGTCTGTGGATTTACGAGGCATGGTTCCCTGGACATGTCACACATGCTCTGTAACTATGAATATAAAACAGATGTTTCATAACCTTAATGCTGCCTGCTGTGTACAGTGACTGCTCACTTCTGCCTCAGCTTTCAACCTGAGTTAGAGAAAAGCATCCAGTGCAGGAAGGACCCGGGTCACCGTCCCAGATGTCCCAGGGCTCACTCTGCTTCACCTGTGCCTTTGCTTCCTTATATCTTTAAAGCTACTAGTAAAGCTTTTCATTGGGTAAGATCTCGGATTTCTATGAGTGAGGTTTGACAGTCCAATCCTCAAATTTGTTAGTAATCAGGGAAATTCAATACCATTTTAACTTAAACTCACCAGATTAGCAAAACAAATTTTTTAAATCTAACAATAATAAAGGTAAGAATATGGATCAGTACAAAATCTGAAAACACTGCTGGTGGGAGTGTAAAGTAGCGTGACCATTTGGAAAAATAATTTATCTAATAAAATTAAATATGTGCATATTCTATGACACAGCAGTTCTAGTTCTGGAAATATTTTGAAAAACTTGCATATGTGCACTGAGTGATATATACAAGACTATTTGTAGCTTCACCGTTTATAGCAGCAAGCCAAATGTCCATAATAGGACAATAGATGACCTGGTATATTTATATTTGTATAATGACACTATATACAATGATGAAAACAAGAATAAGCAACAGCTACATGCTGCAGTATAGTATGGATGAACCTCACAAATACAATGTTGACCAAAAAAGCAAGTCAAAGGATGCAATTTACCTAAAATTCAAAAAAATGTAAAATGAAATAATATACTGTTTGGAGATACAAATATATATGGAAAAACCATAAAGAGAAGCAAGGGAAAGATTAACACAAAATCCAGGATAATAGCTATAATCTCTAAACAAACGGGGGCTGGGCCCACAAGGTACTTCTGAGGTTTGGATAAATTTTGTTTCTTATGGTGAGTGACAGATATGGCAAGTTATCGTTTTAGTATTAGTTCTTAAAATGTACATATATCAATACACACTTATATATATATGATGTATCTCACAGTTAAGAGAAAGAATACACTGTGGATATATAATACAACCTGGTAATTCTTCAGAAAGAAATATATAGCAACCTGAGTATCTCAAGAAGTTAAAAGATGATCATTGTATGATAATGATTTTCTGGCAAACTTTCATGCATAGAAAAAAGACTAGAAAGATACACCAAAATCTTAACCATAGTTATTACTGGTTCTGGGACTATGGGTGGTCTTTTGTGTTTTTCTGTTATAGCTTTCTGCACTGAGCATATAGTTTTTAAAGTTTTTTTTTCTTTACTGAATTAATCTACATATATAGTATAGCACTGAATAATAATATCTAAGATACTTCCCGGCTTTCTAACAAAAGCTTCATGATCATTTTCTCATATCTGGCCCATGTGCTATAAAAGCTTGATATATCAAAGTCTGAGCTTTGACATTATGTATTAAAACATAGCAAAATTTCCTCACATCATAAATGATAACTACTGGGTTTCTATTTTATCCCTATTCTAAATATTTCCTTATATGATTTAAAATTCTTATGGTTTTACTTCTTCCTTTACTTCCTCTCCTTTTGCCAGGGGCATTTAAAAGAAAACTCTAAAAACAGGGCCTGGCATATACAGCAAGCACCCAATAAATACTGGTTCCCTTCTATACCATTCTTTGTCTTGAACATGTTAACATAACCTTAACTCCAATTCTTAAACACTGACGGAGCAGCTTCCTCCAAATTTGCTCACTTTTGATTTAGACTCCATAGGTGTCAAGGGCCATACTACCTCTCATTTCTTTCTAGCCCCACTTAATTCTACTTTAGTTTCCTCAAGATTTTACTATTTAAGGGATTATTTTACCAAATAAAGTACAAATAAAGATATGTGCTAGAGGCAAGGTAATAAACTCAAATATTAAAAAACACAAACCAGGGCTTCCCTGGTGGCGCAGTGGTTGGGAATCTGCCTGCTAATGCAGGGGATACGGGTTCGAGCCATGGTCTGGGAGGATCCCATATGCCGCAGAGCAACTAGGCCCATGAGCCACAACTACTGCGCCTGCGCGTCTGGAGCCTGTGCTCCGCAACGAGAGGCCGCGATAGTGAGAGGCCTGCGCACCGTGATGAAGAGTGGCCCCCGCTTGCCACAACTAGAGAAAGCCCTCGCACAGAAACGAAGACCCAACACAGCAAAAATAAATTAATAAACTCCTAAAAAAAATCCCACAAACCAAATAAAATATAAATTGAATTACAACTAAATCTATTACAACAAAATCACTTTTATATTCTCAGCTTTTAAAATTATAAACATTTAAAATTATATACTGGTTAAACACACAGAACTCATTAACAAACAATATTACTTACATGATATTATTACTCTTGTGGGCTCTTCCAATGTTTTCACACCAGCGGTATTTACAAATATCATAAACCAATAATTCCTCTGGGAAAAAGTAGTTCCAGCGCCGGATTCCTGAACCACAAATAATGTTTCTAAAGATATCATTATTGTATCATATAACAGTTAATAAGAATAAGACTGTTTACCTCCTTTAATGCCATTTTTATTCACCAACAAGAGAACAAATTGATCAATTTCAGGGTAAGGTGAACACTGAAAACCTTCAATGGTTTCTACTGCAACAAAAATAAAAATTAATTATAAATCATAATGGCTAAAACATGAGGAGTTAAATTTTAAGTTGTTTAGTACAACTATGGGTTTTGCAACCTGCCCCTGCCAGTTCGTTTTGGGTTTTTTTGGCCTTCTCTGCAATTTGTCTTTTAGTCAGTCATGGATTCTTACAAGGAAGCAGGTAAAATTCAGACCTCTCAATTAAATCAAATTTTAGCTAATTCGCATAAAAAGCATTTAGTATCACTTCAGTTGCTTGCTTCATTCTGATAAAGAGAAAAGCAGTCCCTTGCATCCAGGAGCTGTACTAGTATTATCATTGAGGTCTTGGTGTTGCTACAAGCTAGCTGGGGACTCACAGCTCAGCCCTGGTGTTCTCCTATTAATCATAAACTATTTCACACAACTTCAACATCAGGTAAGGTCACTCTGTGGCCATGATGATTCAAGAAAAAAATGAACGCCACTCTGTAATCGTGTGAACACAGACAAAACATGAACATTTTCCAAACCACAAAAATGACCAAGCGCCCACCTATCTTGTCTAATGTAAGTAGCTTCTCCTTCTTTGCCAATTGTAGCTTTAGTCTCTCTGTAGTCGGCCTTCCTTCTAGATAAGATTTATCAAGATATTTAATCATAAAATTTGTCACTGACAACACCCAATTCAAAACAAACACACTTCCTTGGAGACTTCAAAAGCATCTAACTCAAGCCTGAATCATCTATAAGTCCTTTCTAACACACTTTTACTGAGATGCCCTCAGTTTCCTATGGTGTGCATTCTCCACCGTGGTGACCAGTAATACACTCAGCTTACCACAGGTGTGTTCTCCAGTGCTCTTTAGCTGTAGAGCACTGACATTCATTATATTTTCTACGACTCTAATGGAATAATTAAAAATTTATTTAAAATCTTACTTAAATTTAAAGACAGAATACTCTTCTTAAAATAAAGCCCGATTTCACTTACAAAAATAGTACACATAATTTAAGAAATTTTGGAAAATATATTACAGCAGAAATGAGAGGAATGTCTAGAAATAACTGTTAAACAACCAGAGGAAAATAAACATAAGAAAATGTTATCCATATTTTTAAAATAAACCTGTGATCATACCTCACATATAATTTTGAGTCTTAACATCATAAATGGGCATTTTTCATATTATATAGGCTTTATAAATTTAAATCAAATGGCTACAGAGTATTTTACAGTATATAACCAATCCCATTTTGCTGTACATTTAAATTTTCAGTTTCACTACTATAAATAATGATAGCCCAAAATATGTGTATAAAAATATTTACTGGAGAGTTTATATATATCTTAAAAAAAGATCTATATTTTCTTCAGTATAGGAATGAAGAACACATAGATTTTGTGAAAAATTATATGGCCATTAAAAGAATGCAGGGCTTCCCTGGTGGCACAGTGGTTGAGACTGCCTGCTGATGCAGGGGACACGGGTTCGTGCCCTGGTCCGGGAAGATCCCACATGCCACGGAACGGCTGGGCCCGTGAGCCACGGCTGCTGAGCCTGTGCGTCCAGAGCCTGTGCTCCGCAACGGGAGAGGCCACAACAGTGAGAGGCCCGCGTACCCCAAAAAAAAAAAAAAAAAAAAAAAAAAGAATGCATAAGCTCTCCGTATACAGGAAATATACTAAAAGCTCTGCTGGGTTCAATAGGCAGTTATTAACAGTGGTTACCCATCTTTGATTGTGGACAGAGGGGTGAAGAGAACTTTGTTTTTTCATTTTAATATGTGTTTATTTTATATAAACAATCTACATTTTCATATTTTTCCCCAAAACACCATAAAATGAAAATTAGTAAAGAAGCTTTAAAATACATCAATTTTTATACTTTTTCCATTTTGGATAGAAACCCAGTTGTTCTGAAGGATCAGTACATATGAATACTTAAGATTTATAAGCAAAATAAATTTTGCATCCTTAAATTTTCATAGGAAATTGTTTTCTTAAAATTACCTGAAGTACTGGTATGGTTAAAATACTCAACTCGTTGTTTATTTTGAGATATGTCACATGTCAGAATTCGTAAAGTATCTGAGAATCTAAAGAAGAAAATATGTACAACAAAAAGTAACATTAGAATTAAAGAGACGTGTGTCTACCGAAAGGACACAATTTCAAATAGTTTCATAATAAAATCCTTTGTTCAACAGATAACTGTTCTAGGATATTTATGCCACATTTGCCTACAAAAGCACCAATCCAACCCATACAAAAAAACAGTAGTTTGGTGATCATTTGAAACTGATGCTTTCCTCTACTACAGAGTAAATCAGAAGACTCTAGGACTGCTGAAGCTGCAGAATGAACTATTCCCCAAACATACAGAGCCTTTGAAATTTATGTTAACAAAGTCTGGATAATAGGAAGAAAAAAGAGGGATGAAATCAAAGGGAAAATAGATTAAAATTAACTGAAAGCAAAAATACATTCATAACCATAAAGAATTTAGCCTTTATTTCAGGAAGAAAAATACCTGATATTTAGTTGGATACACAAATGACAATTAAGATAACTCTACTCAGCAGAAGAACTTTCCACTTCTGTAAAATTAATATTGAAACTACAAAAGAAATGAGATTTGGTAATCAGGAGATTACCTGTACTTCAGGCTGTTATTAGAGACCAACTGTGTTGCTTTTCCCATACATGACAAAATGTGACATTATTCTGGTGCCAGCAACAGTGGGGAGCAAAAATCATGTAATTTTTAGGACCACGCTACCTCTAGAATCTCAGATATGACAAATAATTAACATTTATTGAGCAGAGACCATGTGCCTGCCAGGCACTGGTGTAAGCACATACAGCTCTTATTTAATCCTCACAACTCCATGAAATAGATGTTAATATTATTTCCATTTTAAAGGTAAAGAAACTAAGACTTTGATGTTACTTCTAAGATTTGTTATGAAAACTCAAATAGTTCGTAAGTATATAGAGAAAAACAACACATCTTCCCACCCTCCTGAGTAACTGCTATCAAATCGACATTTGGACACAACTTGCCCTATGGCAGTGTATTTTAAGTATTTTTATTAAACTTTATCTCTATGGAATTTCTCTTTAAACTTATATGTAGGAAAGGCAAAAAGGAGAAGAATCAGAACAAGTTAATTCAGCGAGGCGATTTAGCCTGATCTTTAACCACATGTCCTACACTAACAAAAGTTGCCAGCCCAGAGTGAAGGGGAATAAAGGCATATATTTCTGTTGAAAGATGTCTTTCACAATTTTTAAAAATGATCAAAACATGGGAATTTAAATGTTCAGTAACAGAACTGACAATAGAGTATATCAGTATAATGGAAAATTATATAGACATCAACAATTTTATTTACAATTTACTGTTGGTAATTATTAACTTGACAAATATTCATGACATAATGTTGAGTGGATAAAACAGGTGACATAACAATATAAATAATGATCTCAAGAAATATGTTTTAAATGAAGGAGCTATGTAAATTATATTTCTGTATGTGCATATATAAAAAGAAAATTAAATGTTAACAGTAATTACATTTCCAAATACAAGTCATTTTTCATTTTTATAGAATAGTCATTTTAAAAAACTGGAAAATATATCAACTATAATCATAAAAGGATGTAAAGAGAAAAATGGTTAAAAAATAACTTTTACTATTATTATTTAGTTAATGGACAAAAAAGAACAGTTAACGTAGAATTTTAAGAAATGACTTTCTTTTACTCAAGATATAAAAAATTTATATAATTCACATTTTAGTAATATACAGTGCCATTCACTGCTTAATAAATATTCATGAACACACAATGATTTAATTCTTCCTGTATACCTGACATTGCTGACCAAAGCAGAGAGGAAATATTGATTTTCTTTGGAAATATTCTTCGATTGTACAGGATAAAATTTGTTATCTTCAGCAACCTCCAAAGGCACATACTTTCCTATTTTTGATGATTTATACAGTCGAAAGTTTCTATTTCTTGTATAAACTCCTATATCAAAAATTAATAAAACAATATGAATGCATGTTTTCAGTGATTTGTTTTTATAGTCAGCAAATTAAGTTAATTCTGTATAGTATTATTAGAAAAAACACCTGGTTGTGGTTCAAGATGGTGACGTAGGAAGATCCTGAACTCACCTTCTCCCAGGGACACACTGAATCTACAGCTATACATGGAACAATTTCCTGTGGGAAAAAAATCTGAAAACCGGAATGGCCCCTTCACATCAGACAAACGAGACAGAACTCACACGGAAGCAGATAGGAAAGGCTGAGAGGCACTCTCACCATAAACCCCACCCCAGGCACGGCAGCACACAGTCAGAAGGGAACGCAAACAAGGAACTTCTCCCCAAGGCGTACAGGGTTCATACCCCACATCAGGCACCCCAACTTTTAAGACCAGCAGCTGAGAGATGAGCCCTCCAAACACCTGGATTTGAAGACCAACTTGGCTCACACCCACAAGCCCCACAGGGCCATGAAAACTGAAAACGGCTCTTAAAAGGGCTCACATGCAGACTCACCTGCCCCAGGGTCAAGTGCAGAAGCAGCCCACTGAAAAGTGCCCATTCGTTATGTGAAAGAGACTCATTTACTAACTTTAAAGCACTGGTCTGAGGGGCAAGGTCCTGTTGGGATATTCTCTAAGGATGGAGGCTGGTGGGTACCTCCTTCCTGCTCTCCTTCTGCCTTGCTAAAGCTGGAGGGAGCCATCTTTCTTTTTTACTTTATCAGCAGGTCTTCATACCACCCCTCTGCCTTGCTCCAGCAGTGGGTGCCATCTTTGTGCTCTCCCTCTGCCATGATCCAGAGTGCCAGTAGCTCCCAGAGGGGAGCTTCTACACACATCTGCTGCCCTGGTTTTCACAGCTGGTGACACAGTTTCTGTGGCTACCATTCAGATACCCCTTGATCTCCTGGCTCTAGAGGTTAGGGAAGCTTGTGATCCTGGGTCCCATGGAGCTGTAACAATCAGAGAGACAGCTCTTGGTAGACTACCACTCCCAGAGTACTGCACAGACAGCAGACTTAAACACACCCCCAGTCTTTCTAACAAAGAGGCCTATTTGCTTGTCCTGGAGCTTAGGGGCTCTTAGGGAACGGAGGCCAGGGGACACCATCTTGGCACTCTCCCTCCACCTCACTACAGCTCACCAGTATCTCTCAGAAAGGAGCTTATACACTCATCTGGAGCCCCAAATTTTGCGACTCCTGCCCAGCCAGACTGCCTGGCTCTAGCCTGACTAGCAGGGCTTAGGCTTGTGGTCCCACAGGAGTGTATATATTTGCATTCTTTAAAAGCTGCTGCCTGAAGGTCTGGCTTCCAATCAGCTTGAATCTAGGTGCTGACTGAGATCCTCCCCTTTGGGGCACTGACTGGTCTTGGCACACACTCAGTTACTAGGAGCTATTAAAAATATAATAGGGGGCTTCCCTGGTGGCACAGTGGTTGAGAGTCTGCCTGCCGATGCAGGGGACACGGGTTCGTGCCCCAGTCTGGGAAGATCCCACATGCCATGGAGCAGCTAGGCCCATGAGCCATGGCCGCTGGGCCTGTGCGCCCGGAGCCTGTGCTTCACAATGGGAGAGGCCACAACAGTGAGAGATCCGCGT